AGTTTTTCACTCAACGGATTTTTTCAGAAGTTTGTAAATGCTTTGTTTCCAAGTATTTGGATTTTCCAATTTCCTTGTTTTTTTTAATTTCATTATGATTAGAAAATATGCTTTATATGATTTCCTTTTTTTTTAATGTATTTGCTTTATGACCTAATATATAATATAATCTGTATTGGAGAATACTCCATTTGCTCTTAAGAAGAATGGATATTCTGCTGTTTAGTCTTCTGAGATATCAGTTGATCAAGTTGATTTATTGTGTTTAAGTCTTCTATATCTTAGCTGATTTTCTGTCTGTTTCTATCCATTTTTGCTTGTGAGATATTGAAGTCCCTAAATATTATTGTCAGTTCTGCCAGTTTTAGTTTTAGCTTCATGTAGTTTTAAGCTCTGCTGTTAAGTGCTCATACTAGTTTCCTATGACTGCTGTAACAAATTACTAAAAATTTGTTTGATAAAAACAATAGAACGTTCTTCTCTCAGAGTGGTAGAGGCCGGAAGTCCAAAATCAGTAGTACTGCACTCCCTCCAGAAGGTCTTTGCCTCTGTCTTCACATTGCTTCCTCTCCATAGTGAAATCTCTCTCTCTCTTTCTCTTTCTGCCTTTCTCTTGTAAGGATACGTATGATGATATTTGGGGCCCTCCCTGATAATCTAGGATAAAGGTCCCCATCTCCTTAATTTAATCACATTGCAAAAACCTTTTCCTATGTAAGATAACATTTACAGGTTCTAGAGATTAGGACTTGTTATCTTTTGGGACGGGGAGAGGGGAAGGGAGACATTTTTTAGCCAACAACTGTGCATATATTTTTATAATTGTTATATTTTCCTGATACTGTTTTTTCATCCTAAATTGTCCCTCTTTGTTTCTAGTAATTTTTTTGTGTTGTTTTTGCCTGATGTTAGTATGGTCAGTCAGCTCTTTTATGGTTACTGTTTGCATAGTATATAGTTTCCCATTCTTTTACTTGTAACCTATTTTGTCTTTGATTCTGCAGGGTATCTTTTGAAGGTAGCACATAGTCAGATCCTATTATTTATTCAGTCTTGTAGTCTCTGCCATTTGATGCTATTATTGATATAGTTGGATTTATGTTGGTCATTTTGCTAATTATGTTCTTTAGCCTTGGGTCTTTTTGTTTCTCTGTTCTTCCTTTATAATTTTCTTTTTTTTTTCTATTTCTTTCTATTTCTAGTCTACCTTCTTATTTCATTAAAAAATTTTTTTTTACTTTTTCCGTGTTTTAGTTATCCTTTCAGTCATTGCTCTAAGGACAATATGCATCTTAGTTTATCTCAGTCTACTTCCAATTAATACTTGCTTAATTCCAATAAAATATAATAACTTTGAACTCAGCTCCACTCCTTTCCCCTGCTCTGTGCTATTGTTATGTGTTTTGCTTCTATATGCTGTAAACACATTGTACAGTGTTTTAACTATTGCTTTATGTAATCATATGTCTTATAAAGAAGTTAAGAAAAAAGGAAATAATACCTATTCATTTTATTTACTGTTCTTAACAGAAACATTCCAAAATGAAGAGTGTGTCAGATAGCATCATGTAGGAATGGGACCATTCCTATATAATAAAAGTTCCATAGAATTGAAATTTATACTTTCAGATACCAGTGTTTTTCACCATTTCCCTTGAAAAAGTTCTTTTTATGAAATGGATTACACATTTCCCTACCTCTCAAGCAGAGGATTCTGAACTTAAAAAGCCTTTTCTGGAATACTCATGGTTAAATATTCAGGTATTTTCTGTGATACCCTGAAAAGCTATTGAGATACACAGTGCCTTTTGTTCCTCCGCTAAAGTGACCCAGATTCCTCTGCTTTCTTTTAGCTTTTCTGTCAGCATTTCAGAGTTCTTTCCTGTGTCAGCTGTCACTTTTGTCACTTTTCTCTGTCAGGGTTTCCATCTTCTTTTGATCAATTATGTTATTTTGTGCATATATGGCAAGGTAAAAGCCTACGGGGTGACCCAGTGACTCCCACCATTAAAGTTCGTAAGCTTTGTGCTTACTTTCCTCATGGCCTTCAGTTGGTTGGAGTTTTGCTATGTTCTAGATTCTCTGAACACCTGAAATCAGAACTCTGCATAAATGAAACATAAACTGCATTTTGTTTCTGTGACATATTACTGGGCTATATACAAGCAAAATAAAATGAAATGAGACTATTTCTAAAGTATGTTACATTCATATGGAAAAATGTCCAAATTCTGTTTATTCTGGAGTAACTTTCTATGACTTCTTGCCAACGTTATTGCTTAATATTTCATTAAGATATTAATATGTTAAATTGTTTAAAATTATGTAAGAATAATAGGAGATTCCTCCCCGTGAATATTCCATTTACGTAGTACTGGGAAGGATTGTGTAACAGTGATCACTCACCCCTGTAGGCTTCAGTCTCCGTGACATAGCTAGAAGGGTCGGGGAGAATGCAGATTTCTTTGTCTTCCTGTCATAGGAACATAGAGTAGTTGTGTTTCCAGCTTCTAGATTGTGTCATTCTACATACTTTTTTTTACCGTAGTGCCTGCAACATGCTATTCCACCTCATTGCAGTGTAAGCTTACTCTGCTCCTTTTTTAGCTAAACTAAATCGTAAAGTTTATATCCCATCACCCCCTCAGTAAGCAAAATAAAACAAAAACCTGCAAACTGCTCTTCTCAAAACTGTCATATTCCTTGAAACCTTTCAGTAAAACTCCTATGTATTACCCTATGGCTTCCTACAACCCACTTTCAATCTTTTTTTTGTACACATGTAACTCTTAAGTCATCATTCTACTTATCCAGTGGACCTTTTGTGCTTCTTTACGTATAGAATCCTGGTTTCAGGTATAAACTATATCCTTTACAATAGAGTATTTTAAAGTGTGGTGTAGAATCTTCATCAAAATCCACTGAGGCAGTTTATAAATAATGTGCATTTATCCATACCATGACTTTTGCTTATATTTGGATTTCTTATGCAGATGGCTGAGAGAGAAACTGCTAGCCAGAAAGAAGAAATACTCTGGTTTCCTTGATAGTTAAATTCCTCATGACAAATAATTTTGCTTTATATGTTATCCCTTGCAAATTTGTTTACTGCAAGTTGATAACCAAAATATTTATCAGTAATTATGACTTTAAAAAAATGTAAGCAACAGTCATGGTAGGCTGATGTCTCAGTCTCTAATACAGTTTGCCCTACTCTCAGTTTATTCAGAAATTCCCTGATATTTTCTCCTAGCATCTGTTTCACCTTTTCACATTTAAATGTCTGATTCTTGGTTTTTAATATAAAAAAATAGAACTAAGGTTATCTTTTTCCATATGGCTAACTCATACCATTTTCTGTAAAGTGAATCTTTTCCTGATTGTTTTGAGATTGGGGTGGGCTTTATATCTCTTCTTCTCACAACCAACACTGAACCACTAGGATAGTACAGAACAAGTACTCAACAAAGATTTGATGAATAAATGAATGAATAATGAACTCTCTTTAATTTTTGAAGTACCTTGATGCACTTGACTTCAGGAAACAAATAAATAAGTAAAATCTCATTTTTGACCATTTAGTACTTGTCCAGAGCAATTTAAAATCTCTAGAGGTTAGAAATTTTTTTAAAAAAAGAGGAAGAGGAGGAGGTAAGTTTTACACAAAATTTAATCTCTGTAAATTATCACAGCTATGTGCTGCCAGGTGCCGCTGGAAGTTATCATTTCTGCCAGGGGCCGATGATAATGGTTGGAGAAGAAAAGTAAGACTCATGCGTTCACAATCTGAGACTGGAAGTTGGACTCACAGCGGAATGCTTACACAGTTCCCCCATGTCCCCCATTACTGCTGGCGGAACTCTGTGAGTCTGGGAAGAAGTTGCCTCCAGGCCCCCACTGCCTTTGTTTCTGGCTCCAGGCCACGTCACCCGCGGAGTCAGTATATCTGAAAAGCAGCATCTCCACTGTGGGTTTTGTTCTGCCTACAGAGGCTATCATGTGACTCTCTGCACAGTGATACCCAGTAAATGACTGCTTACTGTGGTATTTATGTCCGTTTGATTTGCCAGTAAGTGGTATCTATCCAACAGATTTTTTTCCAGCTAAGAATTTTCTGTAAACCAGCAAATTTCCTTGGTCCTGATAAGTAGAAAGTGACCTTCTCCCCCACCAAAAAAAGAAAGGAAGGAAGAGCAGGATTGCTTCATGCTTTTCCAGCATGATTGGCTGATTCTTTTCAGTGTTCATTTTAGAGCTATCATTAGAAAATAAACTTTAGGTTGGATATCAGAGTACTTGCAATGTTAGGAAGCAATGAATAATTGTGTGAGTATTGTTCTATAAATATGAAAAGGTAGGTAATTATTCTGTTCATTCACAGATATTCCAAATAAGTGTTAGGATATTTTTTATAATAGGTAGATACTCTGATGTTCTTATTTTTATGTAAAGGCAAATTAAGTTTGCACTGTTGTTATAATGCTCAATAATATATTCAGTTAAATGCCATGACTGTAGTACTTCATTTTTATTTTACATGCAAAGGTACATCTCAAATTTCTCTGAGGCATTTTGGAGTTTCCTTAGTTTAAATCAATTTCTAATTTTTTTTTCATGTCTCTCCCTCTCTTCCCCCTCTTTTCTCTTTCCTTCCCTCTTCATTTTATTTTTTGTTTATATATTTATATCCTGCTAAAAATAATTTATTTCCAACAGTGAACTTGAGCATTAAAAAAATGCCTTTCTACATTATTTTTGAGAATAATTTCAAACTTAAAAATGTCACAAAAATACACACATCATGTAAGAACATTCATATACTCTTTACCCAGTTTCGTTATTGCTAACATCCCCCTCTGTGTCCCTTTTTTTATATGAGCTTTATCCCTTCATCTTAAACAACAGAAGTTTACTGCCTCACGCTTCTGGAAGCTAGAAGTCTGAGACCATGGTGTCAGCTGGGTCCTGTTCGCTCTGAAGGGAGAGAAAAGGGTGCCTACCAGGTCTCTCTGTTTCTGGTTGATCTTTGTGTTCTCACAGCATAACTCCAGTCTTCATATGTAGTTCTCCCTGTGTGCATGTCTCTTTCTCTCTCCAGATTTTCCTCTTTTTGAAGGACACCAGTCATAATGGTTTAGGGTCCACCCTAATGACTGAATTTTAACCACATATCTCTTTAAAGACCCTATCTCCAAATAAGGTCACATTCTTAAGTACGGGGATTTAGAACACCATCATGTTTTTGGAACGCACACAGCTAAATCCCGTAACACCCATTTAGCCTTGTCTTTTCCAAAACATTTTTTGAAATAGTCTTTTTGTGATACCTCTCATTTTTATTTTTGTTAAGCTGTATTACAGTTACTCAGTTATGCTAACTATGCCAGATAATTTTATATAATGGATTCTGATTCAAATCCCTCTCAAAAGTAAAATGGCATAAGTTGTGATCCACATTCTTTGAAGAAATGTAATCTGCATCTAGGAACAGATCACTTACATGTTCCTGGATCATCCTGAGAGAACATTCTATTTAGTATCATAGGAAATCATAGAAGGCAACTACTTTTCTTTATGCTGTATCAAGGTTTTTATAAATTGGGTACTCCCTAAATTGGAGGTTCTCACAAATGCTGCTTTTAAAATGGCATAGTGGTTATTTGTAGCCTTTCCAACTTTATTACATACATAAGGTCTTCCTAACCTTGAATGACATACAAGGGCCTTCACAATCTGTCTGCCTGCTCCCCCAACTTCAGCTCTTGCAGATTATTGTCACACTGAACATTTTACATGTCCCTAAAACACACATACTTCTCCCTTTCCCTTCTTTGTTCCCTCCCTTCCTACCATCTTTTACTTAACTAATTTCTGGATACTTTTCAGAATTCCCTTGAGTAGCCTTTAATTATACCTCCATCCGCTATGTAACATTCCCCCACCTCCAAACACACCAAGAGTCTGCCTTAGATGCTTCTCCTGTGTGTTCTTTTAACTATATATACACACTTCTAGCATTTTAATGGTTTTTATTCTTGTCTATTTCCTTCACAAAGTGTTGAGTCACTTGAGGATGTCTTTTATTCTAATTTGTATCCCCAAGCCTATCACAGTATCTGGCCTGTAGCAGGTATTATGAGCATGTTTTTTGAAAGAATGAATGAAAAATGGATGAGTCTTCAGAAAAATATCAGGAGAAACCAAAATGTTTTAGGACAACAGTAGAACTTAGTCTTTTCCTTGAGGACCAACTCTGCTCAATTTCAGTGTCTGCCTGGAATGTGCCAAGAATGGTTAGTGGTTTCTGCTGTGGCCACAGGAGAGGGGAATTTAGCCATTAGCTTCTGTATGTGTCATACCTGAGTGTGAGTCCTTTGGTGTGAGAAATCCTATCAAGTAGTGAAATTGATGAAATAAGTGACACAAAATAGTACATGAAGGATTAACATAATATTTCAATAAAATACAGGTATTTAATAAAGATAATTTCTGGTTAAGTACATGATTAATCCAGAAAATATATGAACAGCAATTCTAAAATAAAGATATTGTAAAAAAAAGATAAAGAATGTATTGCTATGAAGTAGCAGGAATTCTGAAACCATGCTTCTTTTGCAGTTTAGGGTTTTGCATTTTAACTTCTTGGGACATTTATATTTGACAGTTTAAGTTGGAGTTTTCAGAAGTGATATTGAAAAATTACTCTAAATGATTGCATGCAAGATTTCTACCAACATGACTATCTCTGAATTAATATTTTTCTCTCTTACTTAGGAAATATATTTTTAACTATTCAAAAATACAAAAGAATTTTACCTGTAAGCCATGTTTTGTATCAATTATAATAGTTACTTTCAAATAAAAACCAAATTATTCTGTACAGCATAGTAGAAATATTGAGAGCCAAAGTACAGACTGTGTACCACTGTTTATATAGCAGAATCTAGTTTTTCTTTTTTATCGGCACATCAAATGTAGCTCTGTCAGTTGGCTTTTTCTCTTCTGGGTCCAACAGCATTTTTAGGTGAAAGTGTTTACAGCATTTCCCTTAGATTATATTTATTATATAGTAGAGTTGTTGTTTTTTTTTCTTAATGAGATCATCATCCATTTTACTTTGTTAGTCCCTTGCTTATTTAAGATCGTTCCTTTCACCATCTCACATATTTCTATCCAAACAAAGTAATGTCTGTAGAGAAAGTATCTCTGGCAAACATCTTATGTTCCCTTATTTTCCTCTTTCTATCTTTGTTCTTTCCTACAGTAAAGAAGATAGAAAAATATATTTAAATGCCCCTTATACTTTTTTATAATGCTCATTATATATTTTCCATAAGCAATATTTGTTTATATTTTGCTTTGTTTGGTAAGATATTTTTATTAAAGTTTAGATTTTTTGAAAGATAGTAATAATAGTGTTATTCTTTGAGCACTTGTATGCATTGGAGATTCTTTGTGAGCAGTTTATGGATTAACTCATTTAATCTTCACAAGTCTCATAAGATAAATTCTGTTAATTCCCCCATTCTATAGATTAGAAAACAGAGACAGAGAGAGGTTATGTAATTTAACAGATCACAGAACTGATAAATATTGAGTTCACATTCCGAAGCAAGAAGTCTGTGTTATTAAGCTCTTTACTGTAGTATCTCTGACAAAATTATAATACCACATATATTAATTAAATTGAAGTTGTACGAATGAAATCATACCTATTTTAAGAATATATTTTAGATCCTATATTTTGAAACAAGCAGTTAGTGTTTAATGAGAAGAAAAATACATTTTCAGTTTTCATCATGAAAAAATTAAAATCTCAAAATTCACTTAATAATTTATAAATTAGTAGAAAGGAAAATCTAGGATATAAAAATGCATGATATAAAATTGTGTGTTTATGGAGAATGATGTCAGAAAAATGGCAGAGTAGGAGTTTTCTACCATTTTACCCCCAAAGAATATTAATTTTGTCAATCACCCATGAATGAAAGTGCCTTTGTGGAAATCCTAGAGTTCAGCAGAAAAATTTCAGAACACTGTTGGGGAAAAAATTCCAAGATAGATGCATTAGGGAGGAAGAGGAAGAGTTTGATTTCACCTGCATCCGTCCCCCGAGGGAGCATAGCTCAGTGCCAAAAGAGACCTGCTTAGCTTGTGATTTATCCCGCAAGGGGAAGTGAGAGCATATGAGTGAGCACCCACCTTGTCCAGCTCTGTGGAATGGTGCCAAAGAAGCCTACTTCTTTCTTGCCCCATCTAGAATACTGAGGGGTAGGGAGAGGATGGAAAAACAGCAGCCAAGGTTCTTGAAGGGTATCAGAGGGACACAGATCCTACTGCTTCTTAGAGTTCATCAGGAAACCTACTTGTGAGCTATGCAACAGGCACCCACAGTGGCCCATGTATCTCACCCCCGTATCCCCCTACCACGTGGCTGACTCCCTGTGCATGCCCTTCAGGGCAGTGAGTGCAAACCTTTGCAGACAGTAAAGTTGACCCAAATCTGGGGAATTGGGAGAAAGCATACAAGCTTGAGTATTCAGCACAGCTCCAGAGAAAACAAACAGGAAGCTGTCAAAACATGTCCTGGCTTTGTAGGAAAAGCAATGACAGAATTTTTAAAGCAACGAGAGAAAAAATTGCTTAATACAAAGAAATTTTCAAAGAAATTTTCATAAGGCTGTTAACAGATTTCTCTTCAGAAACCTTTTAAGCCAGGAGAGAGTGGGATGATATATTCAGAGTGCTGAACGAAAATAACTGCCAACCAAAATTACTTTGCCAGGCAAAGCTGTACTTCACAAACGGAGGAGAGAGAGACTTCCCCAAGCAAAAGCAAGAGTTCATCATCACTAGGCCAGTCTTACAAGACATGTTGAAAGGAATTCATCAAGCTGAAGTGAAAGGATGCTAATTAGTAACATGAGAACGTATGAAAATATAAAACAAACCAGTAAAGAGAAATATATACTCAAATTCAGAATATGTTTAATGTAATATTGTGTTAATCACTTAACTGTAGCATGAAGATTAAAGGATAAAATTAAAAATAACTGTAGCTTCCATAATTTGTTAATGGATGCCCAATGTAAAAAGATATAAGTTGTGTGAAAACATAAAATATGAAGGGGGAGTAAAAGAGTATAATTTGTTATATGCAACCAAAGTTAAGTTTTTCAGTTTAAATTATATTGTTATTAACTTAAGATGTTTTGTGTAGTCTTATTGTAATTACAAAATAAAAACCTACACTAGATGCACAAAAAGGTGAAGAGAATCAAAACATGCTACTTCATAAATTCATCCATTCATAAGTGAAGACAGAAAGAGAGGAAGAAAGGAATGACAAAACAGCCAGAAAATAATTATTAAAATGACATTAGTAAGTCCTTACATATAATAATTACTTTAAATGTAAATGGATTAAATACTCCAGTCAAAAGGCATAGAGTGACTGAATGGGTAACAACAGGACCCAACTATACGTTAACCCCAAAATATTGACTTCAGCTTTAAGGACACACATAGGCTCAAAGTGAAAGGATGAGAAAAAGTATCACATCCAAACTCATTTTACAATTATCCTGATACCAAAGCTACTACAAAAGAAGACAAAAGCAAAACTATAGGCCAATATCCCCCCTGATGACCATAGATGCAGATATGCTCAGCAAACTACTGGCAAATTGAATTCAACATCATATTAAAAGAATCATACACTTATACAATGATAAGTGGGATTTATCTCCGGATGCAAAGATAGTTCAACATATAGTAATCAGTAAATGTGATATATTGATCAATTGAAAGGGAAAAAAATGAAATATCAATAGATGTAGAAAAATCACTTAATGAAATTCAACAGACTTTTATAATAAAAACACTAAAACAACTCATGTATTGAAGAATGTACCCCAACATAATAAAGGCCATATATGACAAGCCACAGCCAACATCATAATCAATGGTGAAAAACTGAGATCAGGAGCAATAAGGGAGCCTGCTTTCACCATTTCTATTCAGCATAGTACTGGAAGGCATAGCCAGAGCAACTAGACAAGAGGTAAATGGTATTCTAATCAGAATGGAAGTAAAATTACCTTTGCAGATGACATGAT